CTAAAAAGACCTATCCCGCAAGGCAGTGGGGCAGTTGACATATATCGTGAGCCGGGTATCAAAGCGAGAACAAAAGGGCTTCTGAGTAGAAACGAACTAGTCGGGGCACAACGAACCAAAGTATAATAGCATGGAGGCCAGGAAATTTTCCTGGCTAACACAGCACTTTGCCAGGCAGAAAGATCGTTGATAACCAGTTGTCGCTTGCGCATTCATAGGGTTTAGTTCACTTAGAAGCCGGCGCCCGTTGAGGTATTTCATCCACAATCTGTTATGTGCCCACTTTGGTTACAGGAGAGGTCAGTGACCATACGACCCATCATATTGGCTTTAACAGAGCGCCGTGCGAGCTTTGGCGGTATTTCATGTGCAGCCAAGTGACCAGTCCAAAAACCGTACACGCTCTGAGACGCCAACGCTGATTGTCCGCGACTGATTACTAATCTCGCCTGTGAACCGACAAGATTTAGTCACAGTTACCTCTCTAAAGAATGTATTTCGATATCCGTAGGCTGGAAGCTCGCCTGTTAGCGTGCAATTCGTTGAACCAACCAGTGGTCGGCTCACTTCCGGGTGTAGCGAGTAACACCATTTGGTTGTTTGTGGGCGATGTGGATATATGTTGTGAACTTTGGACCACGAAACACATACCATGGGCGGATATTTTTTACCGTTCAGCCCATGAATCGGTCCATTTTGCTCAAGGTGCCTGCTCACATGGATCGTGAGAGAGCATTCCAGCGCCGTATCTAGTGTCTCGCGACATCCACCCTCAGAAGTTACCGGTCAATCGGACACAACTTGACGAGCGTCTTGAACGCATGGGGTTAGCGTTGCCTTCTCAGCAGCCATACCAACACACTTCATGCTACTTAAGAGAGCTACGGAGACAAGTAGGCTTGAACCGTGTTTCCTCTAGACCTGGCCCATGAATAGACATCAGCTGTACTCCGATACGCATTACCGACGCTTCGCTGCCTCGCAACCACCACCAGTCGCACTTGGGCTAAGGATGCGGCGTGGGTCGCCCGGTCCCCCCCTACGCATACTCGAACCCGCGACCTCAGGATTACAAAGCAGGTTTGTGATCTTTAAGACCACGGGCCGGCGATGAGTAGTGTCGGCCAGGAAACAATTGCATGTCAGTAGTAGAAGTTGTGGGTTGTACACACTGATTGCCATACTATTCTACGTGTGCATTGAGATTTATTGGTGCTCGATCTGCTGTGCAATTTGAAAAGTGCAATGGGTATGCGAAATTCGCCGAGAGCATGAAAATGCACACAATTTTCAGAGAATGAAAATAAGTATGCAGAAAATGAACTAAAAACCATAGTCCTGCCAACGTATGCAAGGCAAACTAATGCTGCCCGATAATTGCCATTGAACACGGAGTGCCGACTTAATCTGGCTTCTCATGACGGCCTCAGCGGAACGGAAGAGGTGTTGGAGCAAAAACCAGCGGTAGCCTGAACAGCTTGCTAAACTTAATCCAGCGGTTGGACGTCAATAATCATCTAGCGATTGAAACGACAGGGGGTCTAAGTGATGACATAATTTTAGGTGGACAAGACTGCTGCTAAAATTTCACATTTGAAACAATTCGATAAATTCTTCTTCAATAGAGAATTCAGTGTGCTGTTGGTACTACCTGTGCAACGGACTCCTCGGCCACGTACAGTTTGAGTCACCCAGTCCAGGTTGGCTGCGATAGGCTGAGCTTGCTTCCATGGAGGTCATGCAAACTTTTGGGTTCGGTCAGTGGTGTGCAAAAAGTCCTTTGTGGACTTCAACGTAGAAATGCTATCCTTAAAGAGCCGCATTTTTAAAATGTTCGTCTTAGCCATGTTAGCACTGCATCCTTCGGTATTCTCCTTTGGACATGCTGTTGGAGGAATCCTTGAAGGTGATTATTTGATCTCCACGTCTTGTTACTCAGGTCAATTTCGTCAGCCAAATAATCGACCTCACGTGTTCGCCGGGCATGACCAACTGAATTCTTCACCCGCGTCGACTTTAACCCCATTGTTGTGAAGCTGGTGCAGTGCAGGTGGTGATCGAACTATACAGGGCGTTTGATAAACGGACCTCTTAACCTGTCGATTTACATCACGACTGATGAAAAACTACAGCTGAGGGAGACAGCGCAGCTACGCTGTTTTCCCATGAGCCATCCAATTGCTGTGTACAGGAGCTAGGCTCGTTACCAGTAGGGTTTTCCGTCGTTCCAACGAACGATTTGCAAAATGCCGTCTACATAATGTCTGTTAAGCCTTTTCTTCCCATTTACCTCTTTCTGCCATTAGCATGAAAAACCAACCAGCCTTGGTTCCAGTTGCCTACCAGACTTAAGTTAGACAATGTCTAGGTCGTCCTGCAGTCCTTCATGAAATCACATTCGAAGCAAAACACTGTCTCAGAGACAAGCAGGCATTTTGGAGCCCGTATGCTAGGTGATTATGCCAGACTGTTAAGGATCTTAACAAATTTATCTCCAGATCCATCAAAGCCGGTTAAGGAATTAAATTCTATCGTTTAGCAATGTATGTTCAAGTCTTCCAACATTGTCCAGCTGCATGAGCCAGGATCGGCATACATTCTATTGTCTCCCTGGTGGCACCGACATGTAAAGAAGGTTGAGAGCAACCATGATGATAGAGTCATGACCTGTTTGATGCACAGTTACCTTCTGTCCGGAAGCCGAGAACCCAGATGATGCCGTTGAGTCGTGACACAATATGGGACCAGTGCGGCTCCACCTAAAGTAAGAACCTGATTTCAGATCAGTAAGAGAATGGGCTGCAAACTTCTATGTACGGGTACGTAGCATTACCCTTCCCGCCGGGACCGTGCATTTGAACCTATTTCGTTGTTGAAATAAGTGACTTGATTCAGTTGGGTGGCTTCTGTCTGTTTGGCCCGGTGTTCGATAATGCGGAACCGACGGTATCACATTGGAAATTCAGTTGCGCCGTGTAGTTTGCTTCATCCTATAGTTCATTGACAGCCGAATATTGGAACATGACTTTAGTACTGGTACAAATGCTGTTGGTCAACAAGTCTAGTAGGAAGGTAGGGTGAAACCCGCAAGTTCAGAAAGGAATGCTAAACAAAATTAGGCAATTATCATTGACCCAATATAGTATGTAAATAAGAAGTGCATATTTGACCAAATCGGTCCTAGTAGAAAGATGAAGAGCATATCGTTTGTCAGCAGTACGCCAACCTCTGATAACCGCAGTTAGTGCAATGACATCATTTTTGGATGCCGGTTTGGCTTTGTCTGCAATGTCGTTCCACCTTTCAGACGCTGTTAGAGATGGAATAGATTCTGACTTTAGTTCACCTGCTCATATAAGGTGGCCAACTTCAGCCGATGACACCCCACGTTTTTGCCTTGACTGTTTACTGAAGTAAATCCAAACCTCATCGGGGATCTTGGTTATTGGCCGAACCAACAGGCATCGACACCTCGAAGCATACTGTGTGGAGTCAGGCCACAAATCTGTTCCAAAACATATGGATACTCAGTCTTATGGACAACAATTGGTGTGTGCGTGAGTGTCTAATCCGATAACAACATGTAACTGAGTGTTGACCTAATTTGTAAATGACCACGCGCTCCGTACAAGTCCGCGTGATTTATGCGCGCAGATATTCACGAAGAGTCGTCTTGGTTCATTGCAACTCGGACGGTCGCCCAGCTTGACCTCTGCGACAAACGCTGTGAAGCTTGTGGCGCCCGGCACCACTGACCTGACCGGGTTGAGGGACGTGGTACACACACACTGAACAGTAATCTATGGCCTCGATTATCATGGAACGCTTTCTGGGACAGTAGTAATCTGAAGTTGACATCACTGCCACCTGCCTAGCGTGATTAGTTGATGTTCATAGACAATTCATAATTTGGAGATTGCAGAGCTTTGCACGGAACCGTTGTAACCGAAAGCGACATCTGTGTGCGCTAGTGCGTTACGCATGCAGGTTGAATACATTTTCACGCAGTTTCACGATAGTTCAGCTTGGGTGCTCCTCCAATATATACCCTTAAGTTCCACAACTAACTGGTTCCCCAACAATTCTCCATGTCGTTAGTAACCAAACGTATTTTGACCACATTTGCGGGAGCATTCCTTGCTTAGGCTGCTGTTTATATGTATGCAAATGAAGGTCTCAAGAACGTAGGTAGACGTGGAGGAGATTCGGTGTTGTTGCTCCCAACACTGATGCCACACCACCGGTTTCCTCCTCGTTTTGATCCGGCAGATAGATATAGTGACAGCTGGGAGAGAAAGTTGAGTGCCAACGGGCGCGTGTTCGCCACAAATCGTGCGTGGGACAGACCCTGTGAGCGTGTAACCAGGGCTCAGCCGAAAGCTGATGAAATCGCACATCAGACAGCAGGCTTGTTGCCAAGGTCTGAACGGAAGATGATGAACTCGCGCGTCAGACATCACGTGCGTTGCCATGCTCCGGGTAGGCGGATGAAGACTGGCGTGCCCGAGCAAGACGGCGAACTGGCCAGACAATCAAGTGTGGAGCGTAGGCCTAAAGCCAAATTCGCCAGGCGATGCTTGGAGGATTGGTGAGACCGACGTAAATATGAGCGTTCTCTGTACTACTACAAATGTGGTCTGCTGAGTCTTCTTGGCTTCCTTCCTGTCGGGTTTGCCAAGGTGTCGAACAAATCAGGCGTAAGGGCGCAGATTTACCAGCAGGCCTGAATCAACCGGTCGATTGCGGGCAAGGTGTTAGAACATATAGTCAGAGCTGGAAGTGGAATTTGAGACCTAATGGTTAACGGTTAACACCATGATAACCAGGCAACTGAGATGGGGGAGCAAAGCTTTGCACAGCGCTCCAAACCTAATTTTGAGCACAGTTAGGCCTTCGCTTCTTATCATATCAATAATATGAATTACTATGTAGGCGACGAACTGACAGTTCGAATCCGCAGAAAAGCACTTGAGCGTATCCCTTGTCCGTTTTCATTGCAGACATGCCCTGGTATGCGGTAACTTCGATAACCACAGTTTACGAGCATTCATCAAAGGATTCCTCAACGGAAGTCATGCTAAAGGACGAGTACATCTCAATTTGGTAATTTTACGACCGTGAGTTTTTCTAAGTCTGCTCAACGATTGTTCTGCTCAATACTTCCATAGGACAGAGTGAATCTTTACCCAGACACCATATTTCCAGACTGTATTCACTTCTTACCATGTTATCTGAAGCAGAAAGGGTCTAACGGCCGTACTCTTCCTCTTTCCAAAGAATGCCGATCGATCTAGCTCTGAAAGCCATTCTCAGCCACTTCCATGCGTGGGTGCGTTACTTTGTCGGATCGCCTAATAACCCTCGCGACTTGGCTCGGACGAAGATGAAAGATGCGCGGGCCGCCATTGTTCTCGCCACACCGAATTCCACTGATCGCGATGCGGAAGACGGAGCCAATATAATGCAAGCAATCGCCTTGAAGTCACAGAAGAAAACGCTCCGGGTTGTGCTTCAGCTGCACAATTTCAGAAACAAGGTTAGTTGATGTCCCCGAGGCGTAGCTTTTCCTGCTGTGAAATACTTTTAGCAACGGCATATTCTGTTCCAAATCAATAAACAACATTGGCGATTGATGTTACTGTAACTCGCTAGTGAACCAGTTAAGAGGTTCTTTGAACTTTCACTATCAGGTGCTGTTGATTCCATCTCGTGGCTGTAAACAGCAAACCAAGCCCATATTAATCCAGGAGGAGTGTCCGGAAATTAACAGCACTGATATTTAGTTGACCAGTTGACCAAAACTGATTTGGCAACGTTCTTTGAACGTTCTTTCGGAGAATGGCGTATCTTCCATATAACCTGACTGAAACAAGATTTTTGTACTGATGTTACTCTTAGTTCATCAAACAACTTGTAAGCCGCCAGCTTTTTTAAACATCGCCTTCAATTAAACACCACTGCAGCAACAGCGTCAAGGAGGAGGCCGGTGGGCATTATATTGTCCCTGTTTTGGTCTTGCTGTGGCCTGCAGTAGGACAGTCAAAAATTCACATCCTATATACAATTGTCTCCAACTGGTGAAGAAATAGTTATATTTTGAATCTATCTAGCCTATAGTAGGCAGAATGGAATTCATTAAGTACGTCGGTGAACGAATCGATCGGTTCATCTCAGCGAGTTCTCAGTCCAGGTGAAGCTTGAAATCTTACAATTCTAAGAATTCAACAGCAGTCAAATACCTTTTGTAACTCATGTTCAAGTTCAAGCTCTAGTAAGACTGGAACAGTAGGATAAATTCCCGTGGGTGTTCCTTCCGTGGCGCATCGTTGCTCTGGGGTATTATTTGTCCGCGATAATTGGAATCTAGAAGAGTCAGATCAGCAAGCGCGAATCACACCACAGTCAACAAATTAATACCCATGCAACCTGTATTGGCAGTCTCCGCTGCACCGGTCACGTAAAACATGAACCGAAAGTATGAAAGTGATAAAAACGTTAAGAACCAAAAGTAATAGGTTTACGGATGCAACAAGGCAAATAAGCTAAGATGTGAAAGGGGAAGTTAAAAACTGAAGGCCAATGGCGTCAAGTCGGTGTTCGAACTCTTTCACCGCTGGTGACAAAACCACGTTCTGGGGCAGTGTATTCCAGGAATACACCACTCTGCGTCACAAATGAAAGTCCGCCCGGATTCCATCCGATCGACGTTTGTGTAGCATCATCGAGTGACCTCGGAGAGATGGAAGCCGAGCTGGTTGGAAAAGTCCAGATAAATCGGGTCCGATTTTACCTGTAAGTGTGCGATAGGTCAAGATCAGGTAGCCTCGATGGCGACGATAATGCACTGAGAACGTTCCCGGCTCAATTAGTTTTTCTGGGTAGGAAACATTCCGTAGTCCATGAACCATATTGGTTCCCACTTTCAGTACTTTCTACACTTGAAACACTGAGTCTCCTTCAGCCACTTCATTAACGCAGTAAGAAGACAGAGGTTGCGATATGCTAACATTCCGATTGCTGTCGTCAGTCGCTACGCGATACAGGCAGAAAAAGCACGCAATATATAGTGTCCACACTTAGTAACATAGATAAGCAGATAAAAATGATGGGAATGACGTAATCAGGACCAAGGCAATCTTATCAGTAGCGCCTCACCAATTGCCAACAACGTCGGGTTCCTGTTGCGCAATAGCACCTTGAGTGAATCGATTGGGTTCACCTGGTGACGAGTCAGCATGAGGTGTTTGGAGATAGATGAGGCAGGGTTCCAATTCATTCTTTGTTTCGCTCCGCCTTGGTTAGACAGCAACTGCCTTAGCCACAATGGGAAGTGTTCCGTCACCCTTTGAGCCAGCCGGCGACCAGTCTTGACTATGTAAGTGCCATTGCAACTGCAAGTGAACTGGTAGATGATGTTAGAGGCCGACCTGATTGGCGCGTTGCTCGAACGGATGTGGAGAGGAATCCTTCGTGTGGTGTGAATAAATCATAGTTGGGCGATAGAGTAGGTGCGCATTAGAGCGGACCTGAGCTTGTGACTAACTTCATTTGCTAAGTGATCCCCTTTGAAGGGTAAGAACGGATAAACATTCTTCTTCTCCGCAGTTTGTACGGGCAGCTTCTCCTTGGGGAGTCTGCTTTGGGTCTAAATGAATTTATTCGTATACCCATTAGCTAGCAAAAGTCCGGTATAACAACTCTTCTTTGGCCTTGAGTAATTCCGGACTGCATATCCACCTGGTCCTGTAGAAGAGAGTTTTTACAAGGCCGCGCTTGTATGCGACTGGGGCGAAGCTGGAAAAATGTAGGTATTGTCCCCCCAGGTAGCTTTTCTGTACACCGTGCGCTGCAATGTGCCATCGGTCCTTCTCTTGATGAGCACGTCAAGAAACGGCAGTCTGTCTTCTCGTTCCTTCTCCTGTGATACAGAAAGGTTCGGGCGAATTGAGTTCAGGAGGGCAGCAAGACGATCAAAATGTTCACCATTAGTGAAGACGAGAATATCATCTACATAACGCTTGTAAAGCTTGGCTTCACCTATGCAGACAGCAACTTTCCTTTCAATCATACCTAGGAAGATGTCTGCCAGAACTGGTCCCAAAGGACTGCCCATAGCGACGCCAGCAATCTGTTTGTATGCCATCACTTCAAACTCAAATCGCACATTCTCAGTATACACCAATATCAAGTCTGGCAGGAACTCTAGAGGAAGGCCCACAGAGAGATTCCGACTCAAAAGAAATTGGCATTGGTCATCAACCGTTTCACTTGGGGGCACATTCGTGAACTGAATCCACGTCTATTGAATACATGAGCTCCGCGTCAAGTGTTGTTTGTTCCAGTATATTCACCAATTCAAAGGAGTCTCTCAAACAATGCGTGCTCAGGAGCTTACGCACGGGTTCTAAGAGCTTTGCCAACCACCGGGCTACTTTGTGGTAGGGTGAGTTATTCATACACATTATTGGGCGTAGTGGAATTCCCGCCTTGTGCAGCTTTGGCGCACCCCTCATTCTTGGTGTTTCCGTTCCTGTCGGTTTTAGCTGCCGATATTGTGACTCGGAGATATAACCATGGAGCAAAAGAATTTGTAGATGTTTTGTAATTTGTTCCTCCACCAAGATAATGTTGTCCAGCGTTTTGTCAATACGGAACTTGCGTCCATCTCCGAGAATCGACTCCATTTCTACGGTGTAATCAGCCTTGTCCATTATTACCACACCCTTGCCTTTATCCGGTTGCAGGAAAATTACATCCTTCATTTTCTGCAGCTCTGTGTAGCGGAAATCAGACGTCTCCTGGTCCTCAAAGAAGCAATGTTGCCATTAAAGGGCAGGGTAGGGTGAGTTATTCATACGCATACGCTGATATCCTATCACTGATCAGTCGCGGTGGACAAGCCTAGATGCAGTATTCCAATTGTGACCTAACAAAGGCAGAGAATAACCTGACAAACATGTCACCCGTGATGGTCCTGAATGCTCTGTAGATCATCCACAACGTTCTGAAACCTTTGCACGTAGCTTTCCTCCAGTTGTTACTGGATTTAAGTTCTGAAGACAAGGTGACCCCTAGGTCTCCTCATCATCATCATCATCATCATACACGTTAGCTGGAGGTGGGGAAAGCCTCAGCTACTGTGCCGCAATAAATAGTAAAAAGAAAAAAACAACTAGTGCAAGTCGGCTGAGCTACCGGTAACGGATGGACATCGTTCCGGTAAGCTACCAGCCGGCTACTGTGCATCAAAAAATTATGCAGAATTATATAAAATTAAATAATGTGATCGTGGTTGGAGGGGAGGCTAAGAGGGATGGGGTGGGACAAAGAAACTCACAGCACGAACGCCACTGAGGTCGGCTTCTTGCCATATCAGCAATGGTGTCCAACCAAAGGTGTTCATCGTCTTTCGGACCCCAACCAGGGCGCCGAGACGCTCCAACCGAGGCCAGCTCAGAAGTGAAGGCCTTCATTCCTCTGGACCAAGTCATCGCTTGGCCACCCCTCCTATTCTTCCATCCACAACCCCGGCGCGCGAACAACGCACGTCGCGGGAGTCGGTGGGCTGGCATGCGTAACACGTAGCCGAGCCATCGGAGCCTGGTGCGTGAAATAACGGTGCTAAGTGGGTCATTTCCATTTCCTGTGCCGTAAACAAGGCGTCGAACACGCTCGTTGCTCACGCGGTGTTCCCACCAGATGTGTGCTAAATTGCGAAGGCACCGGTGGTCGAACGTAACTAGCCTCTTCAGGTCCGCTGCTTTAAGCGGCCAGGTTTCACAATCGTACAATAGGGTCGAACGTACTGCTGCATTGTACACTCTACCTTCAGGGCCAGAGTGATGTCGCGCCGGCGCCATAAGTGGCGAAGGTTAGCAAAAGCGCCCCGAGCTTTTGCTATACGGTTCGTGATCTCATCTTCAATCCCACGGGCGCTGATACAACTTCCCAGGTAGTTGAATTTCGGAACGACTTCTAGCTGATCCTCACCAAGGGTCAGCGTAGGGGGCGGTCCAGACCAATCTTGGAGAAACGCTTTGCACTTCGAGGGTGCGAAGCAAAGCCCGAAGTGACGGAGAGCTTGTGCTAATCTGTCCAGTGCCGCTTGGCACGTCTGGGAGCAGTCACAGATTAGGGCAATATCATGACCCAGATTAGGGTGATATCATGACCCCTAGGTCTACTAATTTGGGAATATGGTGCGGTGCATTCCCGCCAAGCAGGGAAAGCGCTGTGGGGCCATTTGGCCCTACTCGTAAAACGGAACATGTTGCATAATTTATGAACAACTGCCACAGAGCTGCCCAGTCACAAAGTTTATCGAGAGCCTGTTGCAGAGTCTGGGGTCTATCGAAGTCGGACGCTGTGTGGCAAAACGTTAGGTCATCTGTAAACATGGGAGATGGTACCCCAACAGTTTGGACAGCCCATTAACATACAAAGAAAATAACAACGGGCCAAGCAACGAACCCTAAAGGACCCCACTGAAGACTGACTGACGGAAAGACAGACTACACCCCACACGAACATACATCT